AAAAAAAAAAAAAAGCAATGGAGACTGCAAATATTGAGACAGGTCTCCAACCATCCTCTCTTTTTGCATATAAGGAAGTACACTAAGTAAAAGGCCTTTTCCTTTGTGCTAGAGTTACCTGCTGTTTTGCTCCATGTTGGAGAAGGGACTATACTTTCTGCCTGAGAATACCCTTATGTGATTGATCCCTGAAGAGAGGAGTTTCTGAGGCAGTAGGACAGTAAACTTGACTGTGTAGCCAGACAGACAGATGTCTAATACCCTTTGTTCACTGTTACAGCACTCCAGTTGTGGGGAAAGTGCCAAACAACTCCAGAAGGATATATGTGCTTTGGCTAGCAATGGCATCACTTAGTTTGCAGTTCCGAAGATATGCAAAGTGCAGGGAAATGAGACTTCTGCACCTTTTGGCTCTTATAAGGAGTACTGCAAGATAGCGGATACAACTTAAGACACAGGTCTAGATTTATAGGGCTGCCTGAAATATTCTGTCTTCAGGGGAGGTGTATATATAATGCTGGCACACCAGTTGTCAGCTCATGCCAAGGTGCCAGGCCTCACTGAGCATGTAAATGCATAAACTAGAAACCAGGTTTGCTTACGTGTGTTATTATGAAAATAAATATTGGATGGTATGTTGATAAGAATGCATTTAGTATTTTATACAATACTGCATATGTTGTTCTCACTCAATTATACCTTCTGTTATAATGTAACAACAAATATTTGCATTGCATTATAGCCCTGTAACTAAGTAACCCAGCAAACAAGATGGAATCCTTGTGTAATGCTAATGGTCTCTTACCAAGATGTTAAATCCTGTTCCTTAAATGCCAAGGACACGTTGAACTAAATTAAGGATCAATGACTAAGTGTGTTCTTCTCTGCACTGCCCTCCCCGCCACCTGCCATGAAAAAAAAACCTGTGGGGGACCTGGTGCTGTCAGCTTGGTTTCTGAGACCCGAAGCTGTACATATGGACTCAAGAAAGAATCCTTCATCTCTGGGCTGTTTGGATTCGAATAGAATAAAGGAACAAGATGACTGAATTCCCCAAAGATACTCTGAGTAGCTCTAAAAGCCTTTTTGGAATTGTAGCCTCTTTCACCAGTACATGCATTTTACCTGTTTTAACCTTTCAATAACTCTCATTCCTTTTTCTTACCTAATAAGCCTTTAGTTAAGTTTACTATAGAACTGGATACGTGTTGTCTTTGGTTGCAGAGCTAGGATGCAAATCAACCTAGGTGAATGACTGGTCTCTTGGGATTAGATGTTACCTGAATGTTCTATGGAATATGTGATAAGTGGTCACACTAAAAATCAGCTTGCTGGGGTGGCAAGATAGCCTAGAGTGTCTAACAGGACTGTGTGACTCTAGTACTTTGGGAACTCACATTTCGGGATTGGGTTGCAGAAATCTAATTATAGAACATATCATCAGGGTTTTGTGTAAGGTCCCTACAACTTTTTGTTTCTTATTGTCCACACACAGGGTTGCTAGATTCTGCTGGTTTCTGTCAGTGTCATTTTTCTGAAGTAAGGGCACAGGAAGTAGGGATGTAAGTGAGTACTTGACAAGCCTAGCCTATTGGGTAGTAGAGTTGACTACTCACATTCTCCGCCCCTTGCTGCCTCTGTATCAGTGGCAGCAAGGGATGGCAGGCTTAAAAGCTGGTTCCCTCGCCAAGCACTGTCTCTGCAGTGCTGCCTGTCCCCTTCCGTGCCCCCACACCATGGCCTCTATTGGAGGCAGCTATGGGGGGGAGAAAGGGGACAAAGGGAGACTGACATGAAGCAGCCTGTGCCCATGGCAGGCCCAGGCTTGCCGCAAGCAGAGGCTGCTCTGCATCCCACAGAGCAGCCCCCCTCCACGGGGTCCCAGCAGGTACCTGGGTCCCCCTACGGACAGGGGCTGCTGGACCTAGCACAAGCCAGGACTGAGCAAGCTGGGAGGCTCAGTTCCAGCTCGCACCGGGTCCAGGAGCTACCCTTGCTGCAGCTCTGCATTTTAAATGTAGTAAGAACCAGGCCAGCTCTTACTACATTTAAAATGCAGAGCTGCAGTGGTCCTGGACCCAGCATGAACTAGGACTGAGCCAGGCTTGCTCAGAGCTGGCTCACGCTGGGTCTGGGACCTACCCCTGTTGTGGCACTGCAGTTTAAATGTAGCCAGGCTGCCTGTGCACTCCTGGACCTAGCAGGAGCCATTACTGAGTACCTTCCCTTATTGACTAATCATTAGGGATGTAATACTGTAGAAGATTAATCAATAAGCAAAAGCTTACAAGTTAATAGTAGAGACTACACATTCCCCCCTCTCCCGGCCAGTAAATTTTTTTGCAGGCTGTCCAGCAGCCTGGCTCAGTCTCAGCTTATGCAAGGTCCGGGACCTACCCCTAGTTCGGCTGTCTATTTAAAGTGTATTAGGAGCCAGGAGGGAAGGCAGCCTGGCTCATACAAGGTGTGGGAGCTCAGCTCCTGTCCCTGGACAGAGGCTGCTGCCACCCCGTGCTGCTCTCTGTATCAGAGGCAGCAACGTGGGGAAACAGGTAGCCAGTCAGCGAGGGGAGCCGTTTTTAAAACTGGCTCTCCTCATGGATCAGCCTCTGTCTGGTACCCCACGCTGCTGCCTCTGATACAGAAACAGCAGTGTGGAGTGGTTGGGGGCTCCTTGGGAGTGGGGCCAGAGCTCAGTGGATGCTGGCCCCACACTAATCGAGTATTCAATTCATGTAGTTGATACAATTTGATTAGCCAACGTTAAGTGAGATGCCTGCTGGTTGCACACAAGATGCACAGAGATCCGTGCGCTCCCTCCGCATCCAAAGCGCTACGAAGGTTCCTTCAGCACACTCTGCAAATTCTAGGTACAGAAGTGCAGTTAGTAAAACTACCCTGTCCTGGGAGATCATCTTGGTTACAAAAGTCTTGCAGCCCCAAGCAGATGAGAGATGTGGCCCACTCACTAGCTTAAGTTGCCCATTGCTGAATTAGCAAATTATAATGGATGTTAGCATTGCCCTTGATGTGGGCCCATGGCAGCTGCCACTTACAGATGTGCAGTTCTGGCCTTTAGCATATCTTCAGTAAATGCTTGCAACAGAGCTCTTGGTCTTCCTATGGTAGCTCATGTACAAACTTTGTGAACTCTGAATAGGTCAGACTGTCATAGGCCACGTCTTTACTTCCCAGAAGACTGATGCTACAGTGGCTCATCTGGAATTTGATTTAAATTGGTCTAGTAAACACCCACTAAATCAAACGCTGACAGTGCCCCCGTCAATACCGAACTTCTACTCCTTGCAAGAAGTAAGGTAAGGGGAGCGTTTCTCCTGTTGACCTCCCACTGTCAGAACAGCACTGAAGCGTGGCTTAAGCTACATTGACTCTAGCTATGTTCTTTACATAGCTGGAATCCCATACCATAAGTTGACCCTTGACTGCACCATGTACCTGGCAAGTATGTAATAGCACTTGAAATGTCACTATTCTGAGCTGAAGGCTTGTGGATGCAAAGAGCTTTCTTCCCAAAAAGCCTAAATGTTGAGCCTTCTTGTCAGAAGGATTTTGGATATTGTTATCTAGATCTCTGGATAGCTGCCTGCATGACCACAGAGTTAGGTATGTGATAAGTAAGAAGAAATTCTGCTCCCTTGACACTGAAATGAAATAGTGTTTCTCTACCTTCAAGGGGCAGGGGTGCAAATGGCTGGCATAACAGGTTCATTAACTCAAAATGACTGCTTAACAGGTTCATTAATTCAAAGCACTATTTGACCAGATTCAGCAGTTTACAGTGTATCCAAGCGCTTGAGGGGTCTGGACCTCTCCTAAGGCAATCAGGAGTTCCTCTGCCATTTTGCACAATAATTCCTGGAACTGTTTCTGATCATCTAGAAGGGATGGAAACCCTGGATTGGCTACTTCTTCAGTAGCTGAAGAAATCTTGTCAGTACCAGCAGAACTGATGGAATCAGCTCAATCTTCCTCTGCCAGAGGGTCATGAGGAAGTTCTAAATGTTTCCTCAGAGGGAAATGGTGGCGTGACTGCCCAAATGGAACAAACAGGCGCTGCATAAGGGTCCCATATTCCGCAGTATGATGAATAAACTGGGTCACAAGATGGTTGTAGAGGTTGCCAATGCATGAGATACTACCAGTCCACAGCTAAATGTGGAGATGGAGGTTGGTACCTGAAGACACTGGATTTTTTTGCCTGGGCTAGATTACTTTAAGGGAGGAAATGTTCCCTATGGGAGTTCAGAGTCTCCCAAGGAAGAGAAAATTGGGTCTGGATCCATCAGTGATATCAACAGTTCCAATGGAGAAAGACAGACTTCTGCCCTAACCAACATCCCTTGGTAGAATGAAAGATTCTAGAGAGAGGCGACCAAGATGATGGGGGAAATTGAGGCATTGGAAGAGCAAAACTCACCTTCTAGTATAGTACAAGTCTGTCCCAACTCTTCCCCCACCCCCAGTATAAACTTCCTAAAAGTATTAACAGTTATGTACAAAATACACTAAAGGCAGATTTGAAATATCTGCAGATCACAGAATGATGACAAAGCAGCAGTTCTGGACCTTGGAGGTTCTGACCAGGGTTATATGGTGGCGAGAAGGAATGAGAGAGGTAGGAAGTCTGCTCTGCATTCTTTACACCCTCAGTCTGAGGCATAAGGCGAGCAAGGGTGCATATGCAGACCAGTGGAAGCTGCTTGCAGGAGCGCTCCTACTCCAGGTTCACACAACACATGCACCCACAGGGGAATATACAAGAAGGATCAGCACAAACTAAGCTCTAACAAAAGTCTCATGTTTCTTGTTCAAATAAAGGAATCTAGGTTTAGTCATACCTTTTGGTCCATTCTCAAATGCTTCATCCAGAGCATCTGGCTCCAGCTGTTTTTCAGGGCTGTCTGTTTGAGCGCTGGCCTGTCCATTAATAGATGGGGGACTCTCTCCTGGGGCAGCTGCATTCACCTTTGACATAGCAGTCATAGAAGCCCCAGCTGCCACTGCTGTCTCCTGCTGATTTTGTAATGCTGCCTACAGTTAGAAAAATTAAATTCAGCAAAAACAAGAACAGTCTTGAGATCTCTTCCTTCACTATCAAGGCATCTTAACCAATTTACATTTCCAAATATATGCCTAACATTAGGCACCTAAATCAAGTGGCCTGATTTTCATATACCCAACTCCCATAGCAATCAGTGAGTTACATGGAGTCAGGCCTTTTGCATCTAGATGTTGCTAACCCCACTGCAGCTCTGCCTTTTAAATGTATTAAGAGCCATTAAGAGGGGGGCAACCAGGCGCAAGTCGGGATTGCTTGGGGAGGGGGGCGACCAGGCGCAAGCCGGGACTGCTGATTCCCAGCTCATGCCTGATCCCCCGCACCACACCTCTGCCCCCCGCAGAGATGTGCCAGATTTTTAAGACTGCTTCCCCCAGCACCAGCTGCCTCTCTCTGCTAGAGGCAGCAACTGGAGGGGGGGGGCGGGGAAGGGGAGAAGCGACTAGTTGAGTCACTAGTTAACTATCCGATAAGCATAAGCTTATCCGATAGTTGACTAGTCACTTACATCCCTAGCCAGTGGCAGTCTGTTTTCATGTCTAACTGTGAGAAACGTTTGCAAGTTTCAGTAAATCTGTAAAGTAATTTTGCTTACAAAATATTTGATAATTTTAGAAAAAGCATGCACAGAATTTATCACATTTTCATATTTACTGATCTTTAATATTAGCCTGTAGAAACAGTCTATCCTGAAATCTAGTCAACTTTTCAAAAGTAGTACTTGAGATCTATTATTAAATTTCCTACCAAATTGTGGGTTTACAATATCAAATCCGTGTGAGTTTGAGAAGGGTAAAAAAAGCCAGAGAACTAAAAGGAGAGAGTGCCACTATGGGAAGAAAACCAGCATAGACCAAGAGGATGCTCTTCACACAGAACAAAGCATGTGAACTTTAACAGATTTAAAAAAAATATCTTAACGGGACTGAGTGCTATACAAACCCTATGCATATGATTTAATTCACTCAAGGAGAGGAAGGGTTATATCATGTAACAATTCAAAGAATTTATGGTTACATTTGGGCCAATGGGGAAGCCTTCTGGATTTAGGAAGGAAGGATTATTCTGGAACAAAAAATTGGGAAACCCAACAGATGATAAAATTGGTAGGAAGAGCAGATGTACAGAACTCTGCGCTCATCAAGTACCACATAATACATTTATATGATATTAGCCTTCACAAAAATCAAAGATAGACAAGAGATGGGTAGCAACAGAGATGTGATCTGACTTAACTCTTTAAAAGACTTCCCCATGAATGAGTCTCAACTAAAGTTTAATGAATCTGATTTTAACGCATATTAGTTGCCATCTGAACCCAAACACCACTGATATGGGCACATTAAACTATTTAAAAACTTACATTATTTCAGTGTGCTTAAAATGTGACCATCAAGAACTCTAACAAGGATTGTGTGATTGGGAAAGTCATTTCAGACACGTCAAATGTTAAACTGTCTACTTAGACTATTTTTAGTCAATGGCTGTTTTAGAAAACTACAGGAAGAGATTAACAGAAGCTCTGGCATTTGAATCTGATCCAGTGCCAGTCAACCAAATGTTTTTTTAAACTTTTAGACTCACTATCTCTTTGACCTAGGATAACAAAAGCTTGGAGGAGGGATACCAATAACCATAGACCCTGTATATCAAAAATGGTCTACTATACCTGTTGCTGTGCCAGCTGGACTTGATATAACTGCTGCATGTACTGTTGATAGTGCTGTTCTTGTAGCTGACGAATCAGGATCTGCTGCTGTTCATAGTTGCCCGGATATTGCTGGGCTGCATATTGCTGGAACTGAACAGCAGTCTGCGAGTTCAATGCTGCCATTATTTGTTGCCTAAATTGTCAGGAGCAGAGTATGAAGATTACAAATGGCTGGAAGTACCAGCAAAATCCCTATTTTTAACTGGCCTCAAATACAACGAACTCAGTTCCCTGTGCAAACTAATTAACTCAGATGGAATAAAGCCAGGAGATAAAGTGAGATTTCTTCCATCTAAAATATGCCAGTTGAGAAAAGCATTAGTAAGAGACCAACTTATTATTTCCTACTTAATGTTTGAAAACCCATTTAAAGTGTTAAGTAAGAGCTGCCTTGCAAAGCTTACCATGAGTCACCATTTGCAGTCTGAAAACTAGAAAGAAGTGCTAGAAATCCACAATATTTTTAGATTGAGGCCAGAGAAAAAGGCTTGGTGTTTAAGTATAACACACACAACCCTCGTAGTCCTCCAACACAGCCAAAGCAGTCCTTTAAGATGAGAGTTCTGTGCAAAAGGAAAACCTGTGATGCCAGATCTGCCTCAAATTGAGTGGATAACCTGTACTCAATCGGATGAAGTATGACTGACTGGTCTGGTTCAGGGAGGACAGAGAACATGACAATAGCAGGTTTAATTGGTAACACTTAGGATTAATACATGGGTTTGTTCTGATTGGATTTGCAGCTTTCCTCCTTTTAGACAGGAATTAAATAGAAAAGTGATTAAGAGGGCAAGGCATCTAACATGGAGTAAAACACTTAATAGTTCAAATCTTGTTTTAAGGCAAATTAAACAGCAATTTTGCTTAAAAGGCTGTCCACATACTGGGATCTGCTGTTTGCAAACTGCACCTCTGTAAATTGCATAGCTGCAGGCCTCATTTTAGAACTCCAAATGTTGTATCTGAGCAATACACTGACTGCTCCTGATCAAGACTTTTGCCATTTGTATATAGTACAAACTATTCCAGAGGGAGCACAGATGAAAGATAACTGTTCCATAGCATAGATAGCAATTTTCTTAAATTATATCTATTCCAAAAACTCACTTTTGCTGTTCCATCCGGAGCCTCTCTTCCTCTATTCGCCTCCTCTCCTCTTCTTCCTGTCTCCGTCTCTCTTCCTCCTCTCGCCTACGTCTCTCTTCTTCCTTTTGTAAACGCTCTCGCTCTTCCTCTTCACGACGCCTCTGTTCCTCCTCTTCCCTCCTATGACATCCATTCAATGGAACATTTCAGTATCTCCACAATCCTAAATTTAGTTTTTACCATTTTGGCATCTGCATCAATGTCAAAAGTTAGGCCTATGTGACTCACTGTACATGGGACATGATTTAGGGCTGCTTTTCATATGTATGGTAAGGCCTTTCAGCATTCAGCACACCTACACCACTAACTTGACAGGTGCAATGTCTTGCTGAAGGTATGGAGAAGAGAACCTATTGTCTGAGCTTTACTCAGACAGAATGGCCAAGTGTAAAATTTATAATCAAATTATGATTCTCAGTCTGACCTAAGTTACTTTTGTTAGCCACGAAACCAAAGGACTAGAAACTTGAGCTAAGCCACAACCGCTCCCATCTTCCCTATGTTTGTTAATGACTTAAAAACTATTATGCAGATTCTGCTTAACAGCACATAAGCTGCTGTATAAGCTTGCTGTCCAATAGGTCGGGGGGCCTTGCCTGCACTCTGCCTTTCCCTCCTTGCTCTACCCTTTCCGTGGCCCTTCTTCCATGATACTAAGGATGTTAGATATCAATTAAATAATCGTATAACCGCATAAAAACTTTGTGATTTCATGATTATTCTATCACCCCCAGGGGTGGGGCCAGCAGCCAGTGTGCTCCCAGCAAGCCCCCTGCCACCTAGTGCTGCTGCCTCTGTATCAGAGGCAGCAGCTCAGGAAGGCAGGTGAGAGGCAGTCCACAAAGGAAGCCTGTTAATACAGAGACAGCAGCAGAGGGCAGTGGCAGGCAGCTCCCCACGAGCCAGTGCTTTTAAGCTGGCTCCCCCTGAGCACTGGCTCCTATCTGCCGCCCCCCCGCTTTGCTGCCTCTGTGGGGAAGGGGAAGGTGGTTCTCCACAGGCACTGCTTCTCCACCTCTGATACAGGGGCAGCAAGGGGGGGAGGGGGGGGAAGGAAATGCGTGTAGTTGATATCAGTTAATCCTAAATGTTGACTGATAAGTGTTGGCTTATCGGTTACTCATGTAGTGGACTACAGGTTGACATTCCTACATGATACCTCTCCCACCTGCCATATCCTTCCTCATCACCCTTCCTGTTGTGTCCCTTCTCATCTCCACTCCCATCCCCCATAAGGCTGCCCGCTGCATCCCTCCTCAGCCCCCTCTCTCTGGAAGCTGGCTGACTGGGAAGCAGGGATCAGATAAGTTGTGAAGGGTAGTCCTGGGCCAGCCTGGCGAGGGCTCTGACCCTGAGGGGAGATGTAGTAGAGCAACATGAGGCTCCAGCAGGCAGGGAGAAGGGGCAGGCCTTCTAGAGATGGTTTTCTTATCTCCTTCATTCAAATACTCACTTATTACTGAAACAGTAAAAAGGCTTAAGGAGTGAGTGATACAAGGCAATTTGGGAGACCAATACAGTCAAAGATAAGGGCTGGCAACTGAAGCTAGCGGTAGCGTCTGCACGGGGAAGACAACAGCTCCCTTCCACACAAGAAACCAAAAAACCCACCCAACAACTTCACCTTTTCTTTTCTTGTTCTTCTCTCTCTATTTTATGGGAGGTGACATATGTTGAAAAGAGATGACAACACCTATTAAGGAGCTTTACAAATTCTGCCATGGCTTCCTGTTTTGACATGTTTCCAAGGGTCGCCCATTCTTTCCTTGGAGAAATGATACAAATAATACTCCAGTAAGACTATACAATGTTAAAAGAACATACAACCATCTTCTCAAGTTAGTGGTCAATTCCCAGTCCAACAAACACAAAGGATGCATTTATACAGCACCCTAAACTTGAAATAAGATACGCAATTTGCCCTATGCAAATTGCATATCTTATTTTGAAACAGATTATTTTGAGATTGGGCACATCTATGCAGTGCCAAATTATATATATAGTAGCCCAATGTCTGTGACTAATGCTGAAATGCTGGCTGTTTCCTCTGGGCGGCGCTGTTACTGAAATGCTGGCAGTTCCCTCTGGGCAGCCCATGCTGCATGGGGAATGTGGGGCCCAAACGGACAATTGGGCTCCGCGGTCCCCGGAGTGAGAGGCAGGAGGGGGAGGAGAAGAGGAAGAGAGAGAGAGACAGGAGGTGGAGGAGAGCTGGGGGGGGAGGGGCAAGAGGAAGAGGAGAGAGAGACCAGAGGCTCAGGAGAGAAGGCCAACATGGAGGAGAGACCTGAAAATCCCATCTAATTGGCTAGTTTCAAAATAATGTGCTATTTCGAGCCATCCCTTATCCCTCATGCAACAAGGTTTGCTGGGATGGCAAAAATAGCGAGCCTGTTATTTTAAAAAATATTTTGAAACAGGTGGCTTGTGTAGACACGGGGTAGCTTTTCTGTTCAGGGTAGATGTATCCAAAAAGACTGCAATTACAATCACATCTTGAGCCATAGTGCACAAGAGACTTGGGACCAAGTGTGTTTACCTCATACCAACTAGAAGAAACAAAGGTTCTCTTAAAAAGAGTCACATTTCGACCTGAAAACCTCATAGTTGCTTTTACTCTCTATTCTAGAATTGTTTTTTCTGCCCATCCTTCTTACAGTACATTTATGGAGGGATTTTGTTAAAATAATGCAAAGCAAGTCTCAAACGTCATTAACCTAACTATAACGTCTTATAATTCGAAAATTCCAAAATTCAAACAGAAAAGGAGGCATTTAATGTATTATTCCCCCCTCTTGTTTCGGTTCTACATTATTACTTATGTTTAGCTGGCTAGAGCTACACAATTTATCTAAACCACTTCTGTTATAACATCTTTTTGATTAATGCCTGGAAAATCTCATTGATTTCATTAAAAAAAGCTAAAGAATGCTGACTATCCCTGAGTTTCAAGTCTAAACAATTCTGTTCTTATATTTGTGTAGTCAGTCAGACGAATGTACCCAGAAGAACTCCCCTTTTACCAACTTATGTGCATTTTCAGCGAGTCCAATATTTGCTTTGCTACTAGGGATAAATGAGTAGTCGACTACTCGATAATCCTAGCCTTATTGGGCAGTCAAGTCACTGCTTGACTAGTCGCTTCCCCCATCTTGCTGCCTCTGTATAAGCTGGTGCTGGGGAGAGCTGACTTAAAAGATGGCTCCCCCCAGCACCATTTCCACAGGGGGCAGGGGAGGCAGAGGCACAGCAAGGGAAATGGCATGAGCGGGGACTCAAGCAGGTCCTGACTGGCATGAACGGGGACGACTCTTACTACATTGAAAAGGCAGAGGCATAGGATTGTTAGGAGAGAGCACTTGCTGACTACTCGATTAGCTGATTCATCAAAATTTAACATTCCTCATTGAACCAAGATTATGTTAACTGAATTTCTCTACTTGAAGACTAGGCCAGTGAAAGACAACTACCTTCTATCGTTCCCCAGCACATCAAAGAATCCAACTTCAGGGCAGGTGTCCGGATTGTATGGTCCCAACAGAACCTGTTTGTGTAGTGCCACAAGTTTAAGTTTTTCTTCATATGTTGGATGAAAGGCTTTGCCATCTTTCTCTGCCAAAGCAATGAGAAGAATTTGGAATTACAATTTATTCATTAAGAGATAAACATACATTAATGTGAAAAAGCCTCACAGAATGGACAGGGTAACACATGCCTTAAGTTCCCAATTTTTGCCCCAGAGGAATGATTTGCCTCTTGCCTTGTTAAACAGAGGTATTATTTGGTCAAAATCATTAGGACTTAAGCAAATTTGTCTAGATTAGAATCAATCAGCTATAGTTATTGCAAAATACTGTAATTATGAAGAGTTTTAAATAATGTATTCTAGATTGCATCTTTAGCCGGGTAATTACTAGGGATGTAAGGACTAATCGACCATTCTATAAGCAAAAGCTCATCGGATAGTCAACGCACTAGTCGACTAGTTGCTTCCTCCCCCTGCCCCCCCTACTGCCTCTATCAGAAAGAAACTGTAAGGGTGGGAGAAGTAAGGGCTTACAAGCCAGTTACTCCAGCTCCATAGGAACGGGAAGGGGGCACAGCTGCAGCATTCCACCTTTGAAACGTAGACGAGTCCCCGCTAGGACTCTTGTACATTTGAAAGATGAAGTGCCGCATGGAGCCTGGGGCCAGTGGCGGACTCAGAGTACCCCACTGGTCCTGGGCTTCATGCGGTGTTTCAGTCCTGCTGTGGCTCTAGGACATTTCAAAGGCAGAAATGCCCTTAACTAATCAAACAGTCAATGAAATTCCATCGACTGTTCGATTAATCAATTAATCTAATTTTAACATCCCTAATAATTACCATATAAATATTGAAGTTACATGGACCAACATTGTATCATATGGATCTATAGTTTTCAAATATTTAAAAGGCTTCTTAATGTGAATTTTTCACAAGCATGTATCCCCAAGTCCTCTGTAGTGGCATGTGGAAGGATTGCTGTATAAAGAGATAGGATTTTAATTTTACAATCAATTGAGTTTTAACCCTGTTCTGTGCCTCGTGCTTTATACCAAAAACTACAGCAAGGAAGGATACAGAAAGTAAACAATTACAATTTAAGAGGAAAAACTTGTTTGAAGCAATTCGACTGCACCAATGGTGTTGGCAAAATGTGATAGTACTCTACAATTAAGAGGCCAGAAGTGATTAGATTAAGGCTAAAATTGAATGGATTTCAGTGCTAGAGGAGAAATAGCATTAAAGCTTATATTCAGAGTATATTAAAATTAATTTAAAAAAGTCTTCTGATGCTGTCTTAGTCCAATTACACTGAGCACTTGTTAGAGACAGGCAGATCTGCAGATACCCGGAATTTGCAAGCCATGTTTGCAGATGGATGCAGATCCAAACTTTGTATTTAGAGTTCTGTAAACTTGCAGATACTCGCTTCGTATTTGTGGACCATGTTTGTGGATTGGATGCAGATCCAAATTTTATATGCATGCATGGCTTTACTTATTAGAAAGAAAAATGTTGCATGAAAGTTTACTTTTAAACAAAAATAGTCGACAAGGAATATCCCAGCATGTTTCACTACCTGTCAAAACAAAACAAAGGAACACCCATTATTTCAATTACACTGCTCATTGAGAAAACTTGGTTGGTTCCTGTTACACAGGATAGAAAGAGACAATTACCTTTTTCTAGAAAGACTAGAAGAAAGCATAAAAGGAGCCATTACTGTAGGTAACCACAATACAGAATTCATGTGAAAGATGTACTGCACTCAAAGACTGTGCTTGCTGATACTGCTTCAACAGTCATGAATTACAGCCAGAGTACCTACTGTTTGGAGCTGTGAAACTAACAGGAAAATCTGGCTGCTCCAAGGCCAAATCTCACAGCTCCAAGGCTTTGTCTAGACTATTAAGTGGGTCAGCACTTTAACATGGAAGTGGGGTTAAGGTGCCAGCACTGGGGAAGAGCCCCTGGCACTTGTAAGTAACTACCTTCATAAGAGGAGTAACTAACCGCTGAAACACTGGGAGCCTGTTTACACTTTACAGTACAGGCAGTCCCCGACTTACGTGGATCTGACTTATGTCAGATCCGCACTTACGAATGGGGCTTTTCTCGCCCTGGAGCTCACGGGCGGCGGGTCGCCACCCGTGTCCTCCGGGGCCAGAAAAGCTTCTCCCAGTCTCCCTGGTCTGCTGGGGGGGTCCAGCAAAGCCACTGGACCCCCCCCCAGCAGACCAGGGACACCCGAGCAAAGCCGCCGCCTGGGCGGCTTTGCTCGTTTGCCTGGGAGCAAAGCCGCCCAGGCAGGGGGACCCTCGCCGCCTGGGCGGCTTTGCTCCTGTCCCCGGTCTGCTGGGGGGGTCCAGAAAAGTGACTTTTCTAGGGTCTCCCTGGTCTGCTGGAGGGGGAGGGGGCGCAGCTAGTGCGCCCCCCCCCCCCCCCCCCCAGCTGTTCTGTCCCAGGCTCCCAATTCAGCAGCTGTTGAAACTGATCAGGCTGATTCCAGGAAGCTGGAGGCAGAGCAACTCTGCCTCCGGCTTCCTGTAGTCAGTCCCTGGTCAGTTTCAGTGGCAGCAGCTGAATCTGGAGCCAGTTCCGACTTACATACAAATTCAACTTAAGAACAAACCTATAGTCCCTATCTTGTACGTAACCCAGGGACTGCCTGTACCTGCTGTGTGAAAGAGAGATACAGTGCAGTAAAATGGCAGTGTAGACAAGCCCTAAGTTTCCCACAGCAGCCAACTGGAATTCAGGTGGCTTCCCTCTGCACCTAGCTGGGAGCAGGAAATGGAAAAGTGGAAGGGGTGTGGGGGCAGAGGAGGAGGAATAAGGGGGAGAGGCTGGGCTCCTAGCAGGGAGCTATGTGAGGGGAGAGTCCTGGTTTCAGCCCCTCACACTGCCCCTCTTCAATCAATAGGAGCACTCCTGAGGAGGCCTCACACTCCTGAGAAAAGAGTAGTGTGGACATCAGCTAGTGCAGCAGTTACTGCAGTGGCTGTAAGCCAACCTAACCTTGGTTGATTTAAGATTATAGCATAGACCTGCCTATGGTTTCAAATAAGTTCAGTTACTCTGAAATATTTTTCTCTTAAACAAGAGACAGTGGAATCTGAGCCATGATACACACAATACTGAAAGAACCTAGGAAAAACAGAAGTTAAATGTTGTTTGGTTTTATGGCTTTAATTGTAATTATCCACCAGATAATTTCTGAAAATAGCTCTGGGTCCATGGATCATTTGTGAGTAATTGATTAGACTGTCCAATTAAACAGTCAAGTAACTGAAATTTAAGTAAATATGACTTTAAAAACAGATTTCCAGTGGGAATACTCATGAATATAAATAGCATTTTCAACAACTATGAGGAGAAAACCCAAACTAAACTAAACGGAGAAGACTGTACTTGGTCATGATCAGGACAAAGATGCTAAGCTGACATTCTCTCTAGGTTTATATGCAAAGTACACTTGGTCACTAATCATGGGCAAATGTAACAATAGGAAACTGATTCTTCACTGTTGGATGCCATAGCACAGACAAAGCATGGAAATTTTTACCAAGTCTAACCCTGCTGTTAGCATTAGCATCTGAGCCCACCTCAGAGCAGGGTTAGTAAAGACTGTTTCTATCAGCAATTGCACTCTGATGGCCAATCTCCAAGTAGGAAGTTCCCCAAGTGGGAAAGAAATGAAAACACCAGAGGAATAACTTTCCACTGAGGGACTCTTATGATTGGGTGGGAGGAGAAAATATTCAGTGGTTTGTTCATAATATCAACATAAGTACTTAGCAAATGGGGTATTCTTCCAAGTCAGTCAAGAGAGTCTAAGCTTTTAATCATCTGTGAGCTTCAAACACTAAACACCCATCATACTTAGGCTTTGTTTACAATGTGTCTTTGCAGCAAAAGGCAGCTTTTGGCAGCAAAATAGTGGAGGTGTACACACTGCAATCAGTGCTGGATCAAGAAAGCAGCTTTAAGGCCCCGGGCTAAGGTAAGGCCCCAGGCTACAGCCCCTGAAACTAAGTTCCCACTGAGCTGTGCAGCTTCCTGTTAAGCTCCAAACTTTTCCTTCTCATCCCCAGAAGGGACCTACTGCTGCAGATGGGGAAGAGCAGGGAGCAGTCACAACTGGGGCAGCTGGAACCAGTGGGAATGCAGCCAGTGCACCGGATCCAACTCCAAAGCAGAGGGACAATGGGGCTCCACATGTCAGAGCTCATTCCCCTCCCCCCAAAAGCCAGAAGTACCAGTTGCTTCCTGGGTGCAGCAAAGTGCCTCAAGATAAGCAGACACCAGGCAGCCTGTCCTAGCACTGCTGGCCAGGTAAACCAATAATAGCAGTCTGATCACGGTAACATGGATGGCCAACAAAGTACAAGCTTGTTGGAGACCTCAGGTATATACTGAGGTGGCTAGCCAAACTGCTACCCATTTTGCTGAGACCACATTTTTAGCATATTAATGTGATCAGAGTTAGCACAAGTACGTCAGCCGGAACTGGGAATATACCTTCTAGCTGCAGTGCAGACGTACCTTACAGTGTTTTGGGATTTTTAAACAAAACTAAGTTTTATAGAAAGACGACTCCAAGCCTGCAGGGCTAGCTGGTCATGTACTAGACATGTACATTCAGAAGCAACATTTGGAAAAGTAATTTATTCTTTGCCCTCCTCTAGCAACTTCGTGTATTCCAACCTATGCCCTCTCCACGCCAATATCTGTATCAGTGCCATCCATAGTATAAATTCATGACCAAATGTTGTCCTTACTTGCTTTGTGATGGGTGTGTGAACAGTAAGTATCATGAGCTACCACAATTTATCATCAAGTAAACCTTCAGAGAGGGATAGAAGATCCCCCCCCCACCCCCCCGCCGCCCGCACCGGCCTGTTCATGACAACTGCTAAGAAACACCAAAGTCTTCCATCAACACAGTGTAGCTTTTGCAGAGGGATCACAAGCAACACAGGTTTCCAAACAGGAGTCTTCCAGCATGCCTAGTCCTTACCTGAAGCAACAGGCTGTGCATTCACTTCTCTACTGTGACTACCAATAAATGGTTTCAGTGTGAAAA